TGTCATCAGCGTCCCTTTTTTTATGAAGTCTTCAATATTAGTCAAAATCAATCAACCGAAGGAATTCCACCGAAAAATTTCCGAATGAAAGCAACAAATAAGCAGTTAATAGAAATGAGCATGCAGCTCTTAGAACATAGAAGAGCATCCGTTACCTGAATACTTTCGGTGAGCGTGTTGAAGACTTGACTGCATACTTGAATAGCCCTCAAGAAGTACTCCTTACCTCCCTCGTCAATCACCTCTTTACTCGAGTAATGCCAATAGAAGTCCATCACTGACTCTTGCAATCGTAGCAGATAGTCGACAATGCAATTGATTAAGTTCACACTTGTTGTGTGACCGGGTTGGGTGCGTAAATAGTTCTGGAAATCTGAAAAAAAGGCAGTGAAGTGTTAGTATTTTTAAGATTGAAATTAGATATCCGACGTCTTTTCATCATTTCATCTTCGAATATGAACATACGAAAAACTCTGCAAGCATCGACTGATTTTTATGATATTTTAAGACCTCTTTCAATGTTTATTACCAAACGACTGAAATGGACGTATGCAAAGTGAAAATTCATTCGTTTCGTGATCAGCTCGGATTACGATCGGAATTTCCGACTAGTTTCTGTTCAGATGAACTATGAGAGTGTACTGGTGCTCGGCATCGAATCACGTCGGTAGTAAAAACAGCTCACCAAGATTATGGCCTTCGCATGTGAGTTGCAAGAAACGGAATAGACTACACGTGAATTCTGCATCGTTCAAGTTTTGATTATCGCCTGCGGCCAATTCTGCACCCATGCCGAGTCCTTCGGCCTAGAAAATTACACAAAAAGTTACAAGGTACAATTCAGAAAATCACTTGAAACTATCATTTTTTTCAGGTGCGTTCCTTTCTGTAACCGTGCGAGTGATCTTTCTGCAGAGCGGACAATTATTCCTATAGCTATTGCCAATTTTGACTGCTTGTTCAAAAGTGACGTGTGATATGAACAATTGACTGCTATGTTCTGATGAAAAAATGTTTGACAGCCGAAGCAGCCAAATATACAGCAA